TAGAGTTCGCGCTGATTTTTGTATTCCACAAGACACAACCTTAGTCTGCGATCATGTCAGTGCTTGCTCTACATGCCCAACAGAGCAAGACAGAACAGCTGCGTTGAGCGGGTTTGCTACAGAGCCTGGACGTTCCAACTGAGAGTGTAAACCTGTGTGCAAGTGTGTGCTTTGGCTATCTTTAGTTGCTTTAGTGGTTGAGTCTGTTACGGCTGATCACAACCAAGTTATTTTTTAGCACTTCATTCAGTTTTCTTTTGAGCTGTAACTTTTTAAATAGAACTACAAGCAGCCAGTCTCAATGCTGCCATCGGAAAAAGTAATTCTCCAATTCTCCAATTGTGGTTATCCATCTCGTCAAGCTAGCGCAGGTCTTCTGTCACGGCTGGCGAGCGTGAGGCACGGCATCAGAGTGGCAGAGGAGATGACAGCGTGGGGAGGCGATGGCTGTGACCGAGGCTGCAGCGGCCGTTGTTGCTGCTCTGGGCATCGAGGACGACGACGACAATGGGGACGGACCAACGTATCGCGGAGCCCTTATAGGTGCTGCCACGTCTCATCGTCACCAGAGCGGCGTCGCGGCCGTCATGGCAGGTGCGGGTCGCTCATCGTCCACCAGGTGATCAAGGAGTCTGGGGGAGCATGCCATGGCCGATGCTCACCAAGACGAAATACAACAAGTGGAGCTTGGTGATGAAGGTGAAGATGCAGGCCTGGCAGCTTTGAGATGCTGTCGATTACGGGGACGCCGACTTCCACGTCGATCGATGGGCGCTCGAGGCTCTCCTCGTTGTCGTTCCACCGAAGATGGGGGCTACCCTCGCGGACAAACCCACTGCAAGCACGCCTAGGATTCCATCTCCGCGACGTGCATTGGCTTCGATCACGTCCGCAAGGCTACTCTACAGAATCTTCGCCAGGATTGGGATCGTCTCGCGTTCTGCCCCGGCGAGGATGTTGATAACTTCGCCCTCCGCCTCTCAGGCCTAATGCAGTAGCTGGTTCGGCACGGTGAAGGCGACATCGGATGTATACCCAGATCGCTCTAGCGATGGAGACGCTCTTGGATTTCAAGATCCTCTCCATTGAGGAGGTGATGGGCAAGCTCAAGGCGGTGGATGACCGTGAGGAGGTGCCTCCCATCGAGTCCTCGATTAGTAATTGGTAAACGACATGGTGCCGGCTAAAGAAAATAGGAAATGGCAGGGAAACAATGGGAAAAGCAAGTGAAAGAAAAAGGTTTGGGAAGTGCCGGTGCCGAGGGTGGGGCGTCGGATTCTCGTCAAGGTATAGCAAGTGCATGATGAATTTGTGTATGGTCTTTGCGCCTATGGATTGAGTACTGAATTGGTTTGATTGTTTCATGTGCTATGTTGAGAATTACTTGCGCCTCGTCTCGAAGAAGTATACCCAGATCGCTCTAGCGATGGAGATGTTCCTGGATTTCAAGATGCTCTCCATTGAGGAGAGGTGAGGGCAAACTCAAGGCGGTGGACGAACGTGAGGCGGCGCCTCCCATTGAGTCGGTTGCCATAGGTGAACTGAGGATCTGTGGCTAGCCCGCCAAAAGAAGGGGAGGGCACGAGTGCGCCCAAGGAGCGTTGTCGGCGTCCACGGATGAGGGATAAGGCTGGTGGTGGCCGTAGTGGTAAGGCAAGTGGTAGCGCCGAACGCAAAGCGGACCATGACGACACCTGCCTGAACTCTGTCGGCAGCCCAAGCGTGAGCGCAGCTGAGTGGCCCACATGGCCCAAGCAGAGGAGGAACAAGAGCTTGCCCTGTTTTTGGCCCATGGATGTCTCAAGCTGGAGACTGAAGAAGGCAGAGGAAAGGGGAAAGCTTCAACATTTCCCCATCCTCGTTCGACGCCGGTGACCGCCTGGGCGACAAGCTTGATGGGTGGTACCTCGACAGCGGTGCCACACACATGATCGGGCGGCGGGAGCTATTCTGCATCCTAGACCGCATCGTTCGAGGCTTTGTCAAGTTCGTGGATTCGTCCTCGGTGGAGATCTGCAGCGTCGGCTCCATCCTGTTCAAGGCCAAGACTGGCGAGCACAGGGTGCTCCACGACATCTACTACATCCTGGCGCTCCGCAACTCCATCAGCCTTGACCAGCTTGACGAAGGCGGCTCGTGGGTGGAGATTGACTGGGGAATACTTCAGATTTGGGACCACCATGGTCGCCTCCTCGCCAAGGTTAGCCGTGGCCTCAACTATCTCTATGTGCTCACCATGGAATACTATCGCCAAGGTTAGCGCGGTACAAGGCCTGGTACATAGAGATAGTTGAGGCCACGGTTAGCGCGGTACAAGGTTAGCCGTGGGACGCGAGAAGATGGCGTGTGGTCACCAAGCAGAGGAGGCACCCATTCCCGTGTCATGCCTTGTACCGCGCGTAGGAGTAGCTCGAGCTCGTACTCGGCGACCTGGTCACCAAGCAGAGGAGGCACCCATTCCCGCGTCAGGCCTTGTACCGCGCATAGGAGCAGCTCGAGCTCGTACTCGGCGACCTGTGTGGCCCCGTCACGCTGGCGACTCCTGGCGGCTGGTGCTATTCCCTGCTTCTAGTGGATGACGTGTCCTGCTTTAGGTGCGCATTTGTAGGGTCAAGATGGCGGACTAGAGGGGGGGGGGGTTGAATAGTCCTTTCTAAAACTTAATCGTGCCGGCTAACCGAAACAAGTGCGGAATTAAAACTATTGGTCTAGCCAAGACTGCACCCCTCTATCTATGTTCTCTGGCACCTTGCAAAGATCCTAATTAAGCAACTAAGGTGCCAAGCTAGTTAGAGCTCACCTAACCAATTCTAGGAGATGAGAGGAAGGATTGGGCTGGTCCAAACCAATTCAAAGATCTAGCACAAGGTTTAGGGGGAGAATTTAGAGTGTAAACCCATGTGCAAGTGTGTGCTTTGGCTATCTGTTGCTTTAGTGGTTGAGTCTGTTAGGGCTTATCACAGCCAAGTTATCTTTTAGCACTTTAGTTTTGAGCTGTAACAAGTACTGCTGTCTTCTTTAAATAGAAGAACTACAAGCAGCCAGTTTCGACGCTGCCATCTGAAAACCAATTCTCCAATTCCCAATTGTGGTTCTCTAGTTGTCTAACACCAACTTCAGTCTGGGCAGATATTGCAATGGATTTGAGGGATTGCCAAGGGTGAATGGCAAATCTGTGATCCTTACAGTTGTTAAACTGCTGTTCTCCAAATCAGCCCACTTCATCGCATTGGGTCATCCATACACTGCTACATCAGTTGCAAGAGTTTTCTTCGCGGACATCATACGACTTCATGGCATCCCAAGCTCTATAGTAAGTGATCGGGACCCTGTTTTCACAAGCAATTTCTGGCGGGAGCTGTTCAAGTTGTCAGGAGTGCAACTCAACATGTCTTCTGTGTTCCACCCGCAAACGAATGGTCAATCAAAGTCTACGAATAAGATCATTGCCATGTATCTTTGCTACCTGACGGGTTATCGTCCTCGAAACTGGCTCCAGTGGCTTCCATGGGCTGAGTTTTGTTACAACTCTTCATTTCAAGCGGTGCTGGGCACCACTCCATTCAGAGTTGTCTATGGGCTCGACTAGGGATGAAAACGGGTGGAAAAACTCGGCTCCCGTTTCCATTTCTATATTTTTAGCGGAAACAGGATCGGATTCGTGGAAAAAACAGAATTGAAAATGGATGGGGATATACGGAAATACGGAAACAGACAAATACGGATGGAGAGCTAGAAAATTAAGTTAGAATAACATGATCAAATATTCTCGAGTATACATGAACAAAGTCACAAAATAATATACACATATGAAGTTATAGGTCCAATTTTCACTAGCATACCATGTGTTAACATGTTAACGTGCTGGTGATTAGTAGATTTATGAACATAGCAATTTTTAGACATATCTCACATAGATTGAAAACATGATGAAAAACGGAATAAATACAGGTCAATTCCGGATGAAAACAGGTCCCGCGGAAACTGACGGAAAATCCCTCTCCCATTTCCGTAAATATGGAAGCATGATCCACAAATATGGAATCGGGTGGGACAAAAGTAGAAAACGGGACAGGTCAGGACGGGATTTTTTCTGTCCGTTTTCATCCCTAGGCGCGACCCACCATCACTGATAGCTTATGAGCTGGGAGAAACACGATTACTGGCCGTCGCTCAGCAGCTACAGGTCCGAGATGAGTTTCTGGTGGAGATTAGAGAGTGTCTAGAGCAAGCCCAACAGTATCACAAATCTCAGTATGACAAGAGGCACCGTGAAGTGGACTTTCAGGTAGGCGACTTGGTTTGGTTGCGCCAGTTACACCGTCCTTTGGCCTCCATGGACAACAAAGGGCGCAACAAGCTTGGGCCTTGCTTCTATGGTCCTTTCAAGGTCCTGGAAAAGATTGGGGGGTTGGCCTATCGCATTGAACTACCGGCTGGAGCACAGCTACACAATGTCTTCCATGTCGGGTTGTTTAAGCCATTCAAGGGCACCACCTCCGGTCACACCACCGCAGCTGCCAGCAATCAGCCATGGCCTTGTGTGTGCTAAGCATGCTGGCGGCAGAGACAGGAGAGGGAGAAAGGTCGATTGTACACGCGGTAACTCCCTGCGTCTTGTGTGTAAGGAGCGCATGCTGGCGGAACTCCCTGCATCCAAGAGCTCAGGCCGGCGTAGCCTAAGTTCCTCTACATCACCAGCACCTCACCCACCGGTCATCACCCACCACAGTCATCACACCTTGGTAAGACCATCTGCTTACCTCCAGTAACCCTTTTTCCTTTCATGTGGTCGAGCAAGGTGGTCTTCTGGTGCTATGTGTTCGCCAGTCTTTGATCAATGGGTTGTTAGTTCAGTGGTTTATATTTAAGGTGCTCTATTATTGTAAATTTTACTTGTCTGCCCTACTAATTGTGTTTTCAGTTTTCACAACATTGTGCAGTTTTTGTCTGGAAATAACTTCCTAGAATATTTCAGTTTTTTTCCTATTTCTATGCAGGTAATATCAGCTCTAAACTTGCTAAGATTTATTCTGATAATAGATTCAAGAGGTAACGTCCAAAAACTTAACATTAACAATTTATCTTCAGATATTGATAATTTGTCACAGCCATGATGTACTCTTGTTCTTTCAATTCATGCTATGCCTGTATTTGCATCCATTACATTTCGACTCCTGCAATATTTTAACTACCATTTGAAATACGGTTCAAAATTTTGCAGGGTTTTTTTCATCAATGTAGATTTTTTATTTTGTGGTCATAATTAAGCATTTTGGTTTAATATTATACATGCTAACTTGTGTCAAATCCAATGAATTTTGTTAGCAAAATTGTTAGATTTTTTAAAACAATCTTACCAAAAGTTGAAATTAACACTTGGGGGTCTGGCATCGGTCCTTATTCCTAATTTTTAAGTCATGCACATACATGTCCTTATTCATGTCTGGAAGTGGTAATGAACCTTTCCAAAGAGCAATAACCTTATTCCTAATTTTTAAGTCATGCACATATATATACCTTTCCAAAGAGCAATAACCTTAGAAGCATACCCTCCATTTCAAATTATAAGACAGTTTTGGCAATTTCTAGATACATAACAAAAGTAATGTACTCCCTCCGTTTTTTTTAAGTGTCCTATTTGGCTTTGGTGCACAGACCAAGACAGAGATTAACTCTGAGTTAAGTCTTCACATTTCTGTACTCTATTCGATTATGCTGCTTCGTGCACAGCGCTAGGCAATTACTCCGGCATGGATCCATGCAAGCCAAGCGCGCGCAGCACTCACCAGCGTCCAGCCCGGTACTTGCGCGTAGTACTTCACCGGCAACATGCAAGCTAGCTCGTGCATGACTGCATGCGGATTTAACTGCGCATGGAAGGAACGATGCGTTTCTTTAACTCCTGGCTCTACGAACCAAGCGAACGGTGCGCATGGAAGGAACGATGCGCATGGAACCAAAATATGACGCTTATTTGCGACTTTCTCCCAAAACCAAATACGACACTTGAAAAAAACAGAGAGTATCTTGAAAAGCCAAAACGTCTTATAATTTGGGGTGGAGGGATTAATGTGCAATGGACATACATCCCAGTTCCAAATCGGTAATGGAACTGATAAGATGTTTTTTTGTCAATTTTTTCCATTCTTGTAAACCAGCAGAACGTAGGAAGGATTCCTCAGTTTTGCATCATTGCCTGATTAATGGATTAGAATTTGCATGTGCCACAATGGATTATGGAAGATATGTGAATTGTGTGTTTGATCACCTTTTATCTTCCCCTTTTGGTCAGGAGAAAGATCTGGAAAATTGTTTGAGAAAGAGACATTGCACAAGGTGCACTTGGAGTGGCTGACCCCATTAAGACCAATCGTGGCGGAAATTCAGTTGGAAAATGAAAAGGATGCTGATGAGATTACAAATGAGATAGCGTGCACGTTAAATCTTGTTCAATTGGTGCTATACCGCTGCATCGAGTTGGTGGAGGAAAAGTTGAAGGGCTGCTAAAGTTTTTGGTACCTAGTCATTTCCATACAGTGCCGACCGCTGTATCTAGATGGAATGTTCTTGAGGATACAAATTCCATCATCTCAAGATATGGCCAGGAAGTCTGGTTTTACTTAGTGTGTCTAGTGTGTTCACACGAATTTATGGTGTTATTGCTCTGTTCGTTTGGGCTGGTTTGGCTTATAAGTCATGGCTGAAAGTATTGTTGGCTAGTTTGGTATACTGTTCATTGGCTTATAAGCCAGATATAAGCAAGCGAACAGGCTGTTATCGTAGACTAGCAAACAGGATGTGGTTAACCCGTGGCCAGTTGCGCCGGTGGCCTACAACGTGCGACACCCCTGATTGCACATAACGAATTAACGAGCGTCTCTGACCGTGTGTGATGAGTGCCTCCTGTGTACTGTACATTCAATTTGGATGGCAAAATTGGCTGCCCGGCCTGGCATGGCACGGCTTGATATTATTAGGCCGTGTCTGTTTTTGTGCTTTTTTTTTTAGAAAGCACGGTACGCCTTGTAGCGGGCTATCTCGATGCCTGGTAGTGAACTAGTGATAGACATGCTGCACCGGTCAGCCCAATTATGGTATGCAGCAACCCCCATTACCCATCAGCCGAGCCGTGCCTCACATCGTTTTCAGGCGGGTTTTTTTTATCAACGTCATTACAATTTTGCAAGTTTGAAGATACACTATTACAATTCACCTATTTGGAGAATTGCCATTATAATTTCATGTCTCTCTTGTCCATGCCATTTTTCTACACTTATACCGTATATGGACCCATTGTCAGACATGTAAGCATACAGATACGTGTACCACGTTAAGTCCCCGCCTCCTCTCCGTTAGAACAGGCCCACCTGTGGCGGACTGTGCGCAAGCGGAGCGGTGGCCTGCGCTATCACTCGCGGCGGCGTCCCTGTTCCCGTCTCGTCCCCTCGCCCGCGCCATGACCAGAGCCGATGCCATGGCCGCCCTCTTCGATACCGAGCTCCGGCCATGACGCGGGCGAAGGGACGGGGACACCGCTGGGCAAGCTCGGCTCTGGCCATGGCCACAGCAAGGGTGGGCTCCGGCCATGGCGCGGGCGAGAGGACGGGAATGGGGACGCCGCCGGGGACGATGGCGTAGGCCGCCGCTCCGCTCGCACGTAGTCTGCCGCGGGCGGGCCTGTTCTAACGGAGAGGACACGGGGCCTTAACATCGTACACATCTTTTATCTGACAATGGGTCCATGTACGGGAGAAGCGTAGAAAATGGCATGGACAGGGGAGACAAGAAATTATAATGGCAGTTTTACAAATAGATGAATTGCAGTAGCGTATCTCGAAACTTTCAAAATTATAATGGCATGAATCAAAATTCCCTTTCAGGCGGCGTCACGCGCTCACACGCCTGTCCCTTGGCGGCTTGGCCCCTCCCTCCTCCCTGTTCTCCCTCTCTTCCCGGCGAGCTCCTCCACCACGCGTGCAAAACCAACCACCAGTTAGACCCAGGCCAAGCTACCGTGACGCTCGATCGGCTTCGGCTTTTAGTTTGCGGAGGCGTGGAGGTGGACCGCCCCGTGCCGTGAGGCTCGAGTCATGGAATTGCCGCCTCTGCCAACGGCGTCGGCGGAAGAGGAGCGCCGAAGCGTAGCGACGGGGCCGTGCCTCCCCAGGCTGCTCTCCGTCGTCCTCTCGGGGGCCCTCACCGGCATCTTCGCCGTTGGTAAGCGCGCGCGCACCTGCGCGGCGCCCCCCCCATAGCGTTGACGGCAGCTTAATTGTGTTGCTTCTGTGTTTTGGTTTGCGTGCTCTGCCGCCTCTGGTATTCTCTTGACTGACGCGGATTTGACTGTTTTGACTGGGGTAGCTGGAGGCCTGACGGGGGCGTTCACCTGCGCATTGGCCGGCCGAGCTTCCGACAGCGGCGTCCTCCGGGGAGCCGGCCTGGGGGCCTTTGCGGGGGCGGTGCTCTCAATCGAGGTTCTCGAGGCTTCGCGCGCCTACTGGAGGGCGGACCGATCGAGCCCGCAGAGCACGTCCTCCATGGTCCGTGAGCTACTTCTTCAAATTCATCCGGCATGATTGTTGTGCAGAATCAAACAGTAGAGTGTATCTGTCTTGCGTTAGCTACAGAAACTCCATCGGAATTATGAAATTCTTATATGCTAGTATTGTTCCTTCAGCCCAGATCATGGAAAGTATATAGTATTGTTAGTTCCTTCAACCCAGACCATGGAAATTATATTTTTGCAATCACATTATTTTCAGCGATTCATGGCGGACGTGCATTTAAGAGAATCACCTGTTGCATTTTCCAGGGGGATTTCATAGAACAGCTCCTTCATGCTCGATTTGTGCAAGACCAGTATGAGCCATTGGCATATATGGCATATCGTTGGCAGGTCAGTTTGTTGTCTTAGTTACCACTGGTGGCATCCTCTTTGACAGAAAGCACATAAACGCATTACAACATTACATGGTTTTGATACATAACCTTTACCACTGTTTTTGAATAAAATATATTCTTAACATTTTTTAAGCTTATGAAATTTTGCAAGTATTTTTAATACTACAATACACATGTAACTTACAACTTCTCAAAGTAGATAATTTGAAGTTGTTGATGATTTGTAGTTTTAAGGTTTCGCTACACGGCATGTTTTTTTATTGTAGTAGTAGACATTTTCCAACAGGTTGGCATTGCGGACAATGATGATCTGTTCGATGTTCTTGAAGATGTTTTATCCGAAGGGCTCTCACAAGATACTCTAAAGAAGTTGCCACATCATGTGGTGACTGATCAGAAGCTGGAATCAATTCGTGAAAACGTGTCTTGCGCTATTTGCCTGCAGGTACTAATGTCACATTACATATTTGTTTAGTGAAAAACTAACCTGCATTAAAATCTTAATTCTCTGGGGATTTTACTGTTTAGGAGCCAGTTTAGGAGCTTGCTTTGTTTTGTGTTGATAAATTAATATGATGTGCATATGGCATTTCCTTTTGGAAGTTGGCAGTTGATTAATCATGGGGAAAGTGTGATTTGACTGAAACTAAGATGGTGGGAGTTGAATCAGGAGTGCACATCACTCCAGCTCATAGATTGATTATAGTTTCCTCTGGTGATCACTTTTGTCCACCTACTGGTTGCTTGCCTTAAATTGCAAGGACTTCTAAATTTTAGGGCAAGTTGCCTTAAGTGCCGTATGCAGTTTGATGGATCTCTTGTGAGATCGCATAGCTCAAACTATCTGCTTGTGCGCAATATATGGAACAAAATTGATATTTGCTTTTGTTTTTAATTTTCTCTCCAGTCCAAAAATATGTGTCACATTTGACTTTGAACGGTCTTCAGTATATAATAACTTGATCACCATTATGTTCTAGAATATATTTTTAGAATCTTTCAAAATTATGAGATTTTGCGAGCATTTTCCAATATAAATGTATACGTATATCTTGCATGTGTCTAATCTAAATAATTTAGAAGTTATTGACGTTTATAGTTTTTTAGGTTTGACGCTTACTCTTTCCGGCCAAAACAGGCATGCGTCAGCAGTTCAACTTTTAAATAAACAGGCCCATGGGCTCAGCTGCATCGTGGGCTGTAGCTTGTGTTAACAGGCATGGGCTGTCTTTTTTTTTGTGCACTTAGGCTCGTAAAATCCATATTGGGCTGTTGTAGTTAGCAGGCTGAAAAATTACTAAAAAAAATCTGACTGAAAGACTGATGTCCTACACCTATAACCATGGCATAGTGATGGTAATAGTCCATCACACACCCACCCACACACAAAGATGCCCACACACACGGACACAGAGACACCCACACAGAGAGAGACCTTATCGTACACATCGTATTTTGATGACAGGAGGAAGTATTGAAGTATTCACATTTTGTTTTGTATGTATCTGATGCTATAGTTAGCCTTCTTTTTTTTTCTCTCTTGAAATGACATGCTTCGGTTAGGATTCTTTTGGTGCTGATGTCGAAAAGGCATTTCACTGTTTCAATTAAACTTTATGTGGAAGTCCTGACAGTTTGCCTTCTCCCAGGATGTTGTTAGCGGAGAGACAGTGAGGAAGTTGCCAAAGTGCTCTCACACCTTCCATCAGCCTTGTGTGGACAGATGGTTCATTGACCATGGTTCATGCCCAGTATATAGGCAGGATGTGTAGGTAAATCATGTTGGATTCTGGGTATGCGGTCATGCCTTTACAAAGTTGCTACCATCGTCATATAGAAAGAAAGATACGTAGCATGTAAATTAAATTCCTGCACTTGTGACTTGTCCCTATTGTGAACAAAGGTTTACTCATCAGTGATTGAGTTTCATGTTTTCTCTTCTTCCTCATTTTGGGCATATATTGATATAAAACTGAGACAAATTTCTTCTAATCTGGCATCTAATTATGGGCCTATTTGGATCAGCTAAAGCTAATTGTTAGCCGGAGCCTAAATTAGCTAGCAAAAAATTAGCCAGTTAACTCATGTTTGGATCCTTGGTTAATTGATGTATATCATTAGCAATGATTTGCCCTTTTTTGAAGCAGTGATTTGCCCTTGGTAGCTAGTTCTGCTTGGCTAATGGGCTAACAAGGATTTGGCTAAACCTAAAATTTCTTTCACACTTCAAAGCAGTGGATTAGTAATATCTGAAAGTTACGGTTCCAGAACTTCGGAAGAGATCTGTAGAAGTTCCAGAGACCAAGAAACCCTACAAAAACACAAGCAAATGTGATACAAAAACAAATCGTCGAATTTGCACACTTCCTTGGGGGCAGCCACATAGACAGCAGTTGAGTCTGAGTAGTTTTTATAAGGATGAACCGAGAAGTGGTTGGCAATGAGCATGGCACCATGGCGTATGGGCTGTTAGGCCAAATAGGCAGACAGGACGGAGCCAATATTTGAGCCAACGAACAGAATTCTTTAGTTTTATATCGTGAGCACGCTACAACAGTGGAACTTCATTTAACAAGCATAGCAAGCAGCACAGAGCGCACAAAATT